CACTGTTCGTCATATGACGGACGAAAGCTTAGCACCTTTTCACCGGAATCGACGGAGATTGCCTCGGAAACAGCGTCAGCATGAATCTTCCAATAAAGCCAATCGACAGCTGGTCAAGAGGAATCCACCGTCGTCTTCTGGTGGAACCGACCTTCGAATCTCTTCACCCAACACTTTCACTGGAAATAGAAGTAAGCTCAACAATAGATAAACTACTACTAAAACAAATGAAGATCTTCAGACAAAGTAGGGCAAGAGGAGTCTTCGCCTGTTTTCACTCACCTCTTCCTAAGTCTCAGGGCAATGATACTTGCTTTAAATTAGTACGTTTAATTCTTCATCCTTTAAATTCTGAATATTTAAGGGTATGTTATTAGGTATATATTACAGATTATGGGAGTTGAAATTTTCATATTAAGAGAAGCTGTTTTTCAAGGGATGGCTTGACTAGTTCATATTGGCATTTTATTTAGTTTGACAAGGAAGATAAAAGTAATTCTTAAATTGTAATTACTAGAAACCAAAGAGAAAAATACCACGATATTTTGACACTTTATTTTGATCACAAAAGTTCACGATGTGTCGTCTTATGATCTAGAAGAATCCGCCCCGAGATTTCGCCAATCAAAACAAAGCGAACATCTTTAGTACATGAAACTAGTATATAGGGAAAACTGATTAAACGTTAGGAAGAGAGTGATGGCCGGCTGAGAAACTACCATTACCTCGTGGCCCATCTTTTCCAATTAGATAAAGAATCCCACTATTTAGTATATTATTTTGCACTTATATGCTTGCAAGTAATTTCTCTATATACATGCAGAGTTTTGAGACTACCAGTAAATCAGTTATATGAGATCTATTCACCCTACTTCGCTTAAGGTGATCAAGGACTGGCAGTAGAATTTTCCCACAATGATATTAGCAGAGCTGACGTTTTCATTAAATTGCACATTGCCTTGATTTCCCAAAAGTTGTTATCATCCAGACAGAAGTAGCCTGCAGTTTCAACCTCGCATCGGTCTTATCCACACCCCCAGCGGGAGTCGAACCACTGACAGTGCAGAATGGGGCTTGACACGTTAACCATTCAGATACATTACCACAAGTGCCCTTGGGTTACAGGGCAGATGTGAATTTCAAGGAAGACTAGGTTTTTTCCATTTCACATTTACAGGTGGGATTGTCGATGAAGCAAACGTATTTTTGCTATAACAATCAACTACATTACTTATTTTTTGTATATAGGCAGAGTTTTCAGACTAACAGTAAATCAGTTATATGAGATGCATTCACCCTATTTGGTTTAAGGTGATGAGTAGTGTGGAGTAGATTCAGACGGTAGAGTTGTTTCTGTACCAATTAAACGATTATTTCGATGCTGCAGTGTTACCATGTGCCAATGTATTCACTCACATGCGCGTTGAGCGCATGAAATGCTCATGATCCATGTAAGATGTGAAAGCCCTAACTAGGTTTGGCTTGCCTTTAATGTCAAATTTATTCTGCGACCAAATGAGGTCCGTAGCTGTGTAACAGAGTAATAGTGATTTTACGAAGATAATGGGGGTTTCTAAAACTCTCCTGAGATAAAATTGTTGTGAAGACATTCATTTCATATGAAAGTGCATGATGAAGAGATTCGTAGGTCAACGTTATGTTGGTCAGATCTGTCGACCGATCTGCCAAAGATTAGCGGAGCATACAAATGTTTGTTAAGGCAGCTGGGTTGAACAGTCTCAAGTGGCTGAGCACAGGGCTAAGACTGGATATGAGATAGAATGGTCTCGGACACAGAGGTTTTCTGATTATGGCACGTCTGCTACGAAAAACACGATAAGAGAGACTATCAAAATTGATAGATTAGGGAATACGTTGAATGGGAGGAATGGTGGCAGAAAACTGAATAAGAATTACTTATTGAAGATGTGAAGACCAAAATGTTGTGGCCTCGGGTATGGTCGAAGTCTCCTTTGGACTTACAGAAGTGGGTTGACCTCGTTGTCGCAACTTGGTCTTGTGTTCAGGGAGACTATGTAGAACGCACTGAGTTCGAAGTCGTCTGCCATAGTAGGTGTCTTGATTCCCAGCATCCGACCGTGGACTTGATACATTCTCAGACGTTTCGCCGGCATCGTAGTCGGCACATCAGTGAGTTTTGCCATTCGCCGCACCAAGCTACGAACTCGTCAAAGAGACAAGTGAAGCCAGTCCCACTTGCCATCCTGTGGACTTGATACATTCTCAGACGTTTCGCCGGCATCGTAGTCGGCATCATCAGTGAGACTTGCCATTCTGCGGCACCAAGCTACGAACTCGTCAAAGAGACAAGTGAAGCCAATCCCTCGACAAACGTTCTGCTGAAAAACAAGATACGAACTCGTCTCTTTGACGACCATGTAGAACGCACCTAGTCCGAAGTCGTCTGTCATAGTAGTTGTCATGATTCCCATGAGCAGGAAAGTGAAGCCAATCCCTCGACAAACGTTCTGCTGAAAAACGGTTACACTATCACTTCTCTTTCTGTCCTGGCCTATCTATCTTCTCCTTACCCTATGAAGTCAATCTCTCGACAACCGTTCTGCCGAAAACGGTTACACTATCACTCCTCTTTCTGTCACTGTCTATCTGTGACTCTTTCAGCACACTTACTATTTACTATTTCAGCTCGATCATATATTTTTACTTCTTGAGTCATATCAGTAGGATAAAAGTCTATCGCGACAACAAATCATATACTTGCCCCTTGGTCATCAAGGAAAAAGAGAATTGGTTGAGTACATAATGATTGTATATATGACAGAAATTTGACTCCTAATATGTAATAAGTCGCTTTTAATTCCCCATGACAACAAGAGTTCTGGAGGTATAAGGAAGTCCACTAATATCATATTCTTACGAACCCGGATTACTCTTCTCTAGCTGCTCAACGAATGCGGCTGACGAATGTTATTTTAACTGCTAGACGCATAAATTAATTAATTAATGGGATAAACTTTCAATATTTTTCTACTCTCATGCACTACAAGGATTGTTTTTATATTTACTAG